TCGTTGGCTGGTTGGCTAGTTAGTTGGCTGGTAGATTTTAGTTGAATGTGGTTTGGCCGGTTGATTGTCCGCTGGTTGGCTGGTTGTTGGTTGGTTGGTTGTTGGTTGGTTGTTCGTTGGTTGTTGGCTGGTTGTTGGTTTGTCGATTTGTTAGATAGTTGGTTTGTTGACTGAATACCCTTGATTATTGGTTTAGTGGAGGGTTGATTGTAGCAGAAGTTGGTTGTTTGTTTGTAACTCTTGTTTAAGAGAAGATAATAAGATGGTAACGAAGACGATGATGTAGGCGATGAAGGTGTTGAGGAAGATGATAAAGAAGAATGTGAGAACGATTAAAATGATTATGTATATTCACGTTGATCACTGATTGTATATGAATTTTTATTTTTTTACTGATGACAATTGACGATGATGATGATGATTATGATTGTTGATGAGGTGAAGATCAAAATGATGAAGTAAGTGGTGTTATCATTATTGATGCTGGAACGGATGAAACGTTGGAAGCTGACCGCGACGATGATGGTGATGATGAATGATGATGGTGGCTGTTGGTGACGATAAGTTGGTATTGATGATGATTAGGACAGTGATGTGACTGCGATGTTGATGGTTACAATGCAGAGGATGGTGACGTTGCAGCTACAAATAAACGCCACGGTGTTAGTGCTAGGATGATAATGATGGCGATCATGACGTCATCGACCGCCGAATCACGTGATGATGATGACCGGAATATTTTGTAGCGATGAAAATTTATTGGGCATTAAAAGAGCTGCACTGGAGCTCTGAGTGAAACTGCTGAAAGGATGAAACGAGGTGTCAGAGAGATAGAGCGGTTGGATGATGGTATGTTCTTTGAACGTGCCATCTAACAACACCTATACAACTGTGTGTGTGTTTCTCCTGCACAACGAAATATTTTCAAATATTTTCACATACTTTTAAAAATTAGCTTTGTCGTTTATGATGTTTGCATGTGTGACAATTTAAACAAATACATACAAGTACAAACATGTGACACTTGCACACTCCCTTGTACTCACGCACAAACACACACACTCACAAAAACACACACAAGCAAGCACACACACACATACACACACTACACTCGTCCATGCAACGTTTGATGGAGAGGAGTCATCATACAGTCATCATCCGTTCAACAGAGATGAATATTTTCTTGTGTGGAAGTTATTTGCTTGCTGCTGCTCATGCTGATGATGATGATGACGACGATGGTGATGCTAATGATGATGATGATGGTGATGTTGACGATGATGATGATGGTGATATTGTTGGTGATGCTGTTTTTTAATAATTTTTTAATCAAAATTTTAATTCGGGGAAGTACGCAAGTTTTATGTACACACAACAACACACAGTCATGTAAACACACACGCGCACGCACACACACACGCACGCTCAACACATAGACACGCATACATCTAACATCTACATACATTTACTCATACATGCCCACACGTGTATACTAACTCATATACACAATATACAAAGATGCACAGTGCACAACAAACAGATTTCTAATTTAATTATAATCCAGTGCTAATTCAATTTCTTCTCTCTCTTTAATTCCATTTGCGCCAATAAATTTTCAAAATAACAACAATAAGAGTAACAATAATAACAATTATTATTGCTCTAAACCTAATAAATAATAACAAAAACAACAATGACAATAATATAAGCAAGAATAAGCAGCACAAAATTGCCAAGGTAATAACAGAGAAAGATTCAAGTCGTTTAATAAACAAGCCAGAGAGGAGCGGACAAATAAACCGGATAATAAAGATAAAGCCAGACATAAACGCGGACATAAACGCTAACTGAAGCCACAAAAATGTTTAAACATAAACGCAATTATATACAGGACCATAAACAAATATACAATCGTTGAATTGTGTATACCGCAAACGAATATTAAATAATTTTTAACGTAATTTCTATGAGTGGGCGATAAAGGTGAGGATGATGTATATTTCGAGTTGGCTATAGTTCAATTGCAATAATGATTAAGATGATGATGATGATGATGATGACGGTGATGGTGATGATGGTGATGACGACGTCAATGCTGTTAACGATGACGTGGAAAATGCTGATTTCGTTTATGACCATGACAGCAGTATTTGTAAATAATTCATAAATGAGATGATTATGATGATGAAGATGATATTGACTATTAAACAAGCTATGATGATAATGATGATGATTACGTTGGTAATGATGATGATCACGACGCTGGCGATGATGATGACGTTAATTTTTGTAATGATTTATTTTATGGCGTTTGATTAATGGTGTTGATAAAACTGCCGTCGAAAGTGACGATGATCATTATCATCATCGTGACATCATCATCATCATCATCATCATCATCATCATCATCATCATCAACGTTCTAATCAGCATAATTAACATAATTGTCATCATCATCGTTGTCGTCATCATCATCGTCGTCTTAAAAGGTCATCATCATCATCTTAAAAAGTCATCATCGTCACCTTAAAAGATCATCATCATCATTTTAAAAGGACATCATCATCATCTAAAAAGATCATCATCATCATTGTCATTGTAATCAGCATCAACATCCTTAATGGAAGCAAAACATTACAGCAGCAAATAACGTGCACAATCATTGCATCAATTCATCACACATCAAATTTTACTGTAATCGCCGTTAAATTACATCATCATCGTCATCATCACAGTCATCATCGTCATCATCACAGTCATCATCGTCATCATCACAGTCATCATCGTCATCATCACAGTCATCGTCGTCGTCATCAGCATCACCATCACGACAATAATCTCCATGTCGCAGTTCACTGGAGTTCATTGTAATCAATGTTGCCAGTTTTTCGACAATTATGGCGTAATTATCTTGCCGTTATGACGTCATTAGACTCGCTTGATGACGTCGTGGACGGCGATGACGCTGGCGATGACGTTGATGACGACAATGATGTTGATGGTGATTAGAAGTTTGAGTCTTTTTTTATGTTTGCTACATGTGTTATGTTTTGTTTTTTATCATGATGTTTACGTACGATGATGATATGAACACTGATGATGACAATGATGATGTGATGACAATGATAGCAACAGTACCAACAAATTTATGATAATGATGAAGAATGATGATCCTAGTAACGATGATGAAGATGATGATAGTAGTTCTGGCAAGGATGAAGACGAAACCTGACGTGTGATTTACGTGTCGAAAGACTTGAAAAGTAGCTTGGAAAAATGAAGAAAAAAAGACGTAGACAATTTCAAAAGGACCTACGAAGGGATGATTAAAATTTTATCAGATGATGAAGGGGAGGCTGATGTATCGCTAGTGATGAAGATGCTGCTGATGATGATGACGATGAAGATGATAATGATGGAGACGATGAAGGTGATGATGACGATGAAGATGAAGATGATGAAGATGACATTCCTATAGATGACATTGAAGATGGTGATGAAGTTAGAAAAAGGTGATGACGATGATGAAAATGAAAAAAAAAGAATGATGACCAGGAAGAAAAGGGTGGAGCTGATGGAGATGAAAAGGAAAAAGATGAAGAAGAAGAGTAGAATGATGATGTAGGCGACGATGTTCGATGATGAAGATTGAAGATGAACACGATCTCCACCATTAACATGATGACAATGTAAATAAACAACTATAATGATAAAACTTCAGAGTTTTCGCAAGTAATATATCTGAAAAAATGGCAAAAATAAAGGGTCAACAACAACCATTGCACCGATATTTTTATTATTATTATCAACCTCATTTAGCAGAAAAAACCACAATAACAATGCTAGCAATAACAGAAATAATAAAAATAATGACGATGATGATCATCCATCCATCCACTCATCCACCCATTCATCCATCCATCACGTGAGTACTGATTGTAATCAAAGCGATCGTTCCATGTTTCAACTGCATGCTAAAGCTTATTTCAACATATAAAGTGCCTATGAATAGACCACAATACACAGACACACATTCGCACGCACGCACATTCATACACACTTACACACACATACACATGCATACAAACACACGCGCACATATATATATATATATATTTATATATTTGTATTAGTTTTTTCGGTTGAATAATAGGAAACGGAAAAATTCCTCTTACAATTATTTTACATCTGGTTATTAAGTAACATAAAGTTATAAAATGTTATTATTTTTATATTATTAAATATTATTTCATTTGAAAGTGAAGTATAATTTTTAAAATTATGAAAAATATAATAACGATAATGATTACATGATGATGACAATGATGATGAGGATGACAATGATGATAATGATGATGAATGATTGTATTTTGAAGGTGATGTTGGATAATGTTGATGACTAGACAATGGCGAAAGAATATTGCTTAGCTATCATGGTTTTATCTTTATTATCATCGTCATCATTACAATAATCAACATTCTCACCATCGTCATCACCATTACCACTTGACCAATATCATCATTTTACTCTCAAATTTCTGGCTTTTCATCTATTTGGAATCATTTCATAAGTTCTTGGTCGTTGGATGAGCTACGGTTCAAAACTCTGTATGAACGATTGGACATGCCCAATCACAGAAAAATATATCATTTATTTTCATTAAACAACAAACATGAATTTTAATTATTTTTTTATGGTCGCGGCAGGCGAACAATTTTTGTACATTTGGATTTTTGTTTGGTTGTACGCGTATTATATGGTTACAGACTTGTACGAAGTGTGTTGTGGTTGTTCTATGGCAAAACGGTCCTCAATCAATGTGATGTCAAAAAACAGGATCAAAATAATTTATGGCTAGAAGTAACAGCAATAACGATGTTGGTGTGGAATGTGAAAAAGATGAAGAGTTATAATGATGAAGATCACGATGATGACAAAAATGGTGATGACAACACCTTGATTGCAATGAGTGAGTGACTCATTATCGTTAGACCCTGTTTTACCTGCCTACATTTTTAATAGCACTGAAGAAAGTTATGAGACCGAGCGTACTTTGGAGTAACACGAAGATCAGTATGACTGCCAACAAAACTCGCAACAGCAAAAAATCTGGGTTTTTAACTGTGAAGAATTTTTTATATTCGTTGCTGATGTTGTCATTTTGACGGGTGTTGATGTTTTCATTGTTGTGGTTGTCATTGTTGGCGTTGTTGTTGTTATTGTCGGTTTTATCCAGAATCAAATCATTCTGCGGAATATTTACAAGGACCGGGCTTTTATGGCGAGTTTTGATGTAGAGATTGTTGTTCCTGAAGTATCGCTGATGATATCTGTTGCTGTATGACGCCGGGCCGCTATTAATTGAAGACGACAAAGATGACGATGGCGATGAAGCCGATGATGTAGACAACGATGATGATGACGACGACGACGATGAGGAAGAAGATGGACGTGTGGACGCTTCGGGCCAGAAGTTTGTTGACGGACATGTCCAGTCCTCTATGGCTTGAGTGTCCGATTTGTTGGCTGGTTGAGCAAGGGGTGGGATATTAATTGAAAATATTATTTGTTTTGTTGAACATTTTCGTATCATCATTATGCTGTTGTGAAATAATAGCAACATTTGATAAAGATAACGGTAGTTTAAGTGAAAATTAAAACAGAGCGGTTGGTAATTGAAACAATGAATGAAGCGAAGTTGAAGACGTTTGTTAGACCACTGAGTAACAAAAAACTTAAAATTACCACTGAATATTTTTAAATGATTTAAAGTTAATTAAAATTAAATGAAAAATTTAAAATACTGACCGAAGAGAGCGTTGAAAGAGTACTGCCGGCACATTGGTACAACATCAGGGGGGCGAATTTGAAAGAGGGTATCGAATGAATATGCGTGGCCCACCTTAGGATTAGGGTTAGATAACAGCGATGCTGATGACAAAGTTGATGATGACGATAACAATGATGAGTGTGATAGTAAAAGTGATGATGACGACCATAACAGTGATGAGTGTGATGGGAATGCTGGCAATGTGGACGATAATGTCATTGATGCTAGGGTAGGATGATGACGACGTTTGTGATGCACGTAAGTTAGTCGGTAGTCACATCACAACATGTGCGATGATTAGAACAGTTATAATGTTAACAAAATAAATGATGAAAGTGTAGACAATCTATTAAATTATTGTTTGTTATGGATAAAATTTACGAAAACTCACAAATTTCAAAATTTGAAAAACCCTTCTGAGAAAAACGAAAAAAATTACATAAAATGGCAAACACATTTGTTTAAATTTATTTTCAAAAACTCAAATAAATTTTAAAACAATTTAAAACAATTAATCAAATATTTCTAAATAAAAATCATAAATATTCATTCATAAATGTTACACACACACAAACAAACAAACACACAAACACATCAAACACACACATACACATACACACACAAATAACAAAATGGAACGGACAGACTAACTTAAACTAACGCACAAACACACTTATTCAAAAAAATAATAATAAAATGAAAAAAACTAAATTAAAGACCTGTAAATTAGATGGAGGTTTTTTAATATATTTTGGAAGTTGATCATAGAAGGCACATGGTACTGGCGTCCAACCGATTGGGTTGTTGTCGGGAAAGTACAAACCTTCGGGGCGGTGGATTTTGGTTGTTTGTGGGTTTGTTGGTGATTGGTTGGCTGTTGGCTGGTTGTTGATTAGTTGCTGGTTGGTTGTTGTTTGGTTGTTGGTTGATGTTGTTGCTGAGTTGCCGGTTTATTGCGTTGTTTTCAGGTAGTAAAAATAAACCGTTATTTAAGTAATGATTAATTGCGGATTGAATTGTCTGCAGTTATTGCAGATAATTGTGTTTTTGTTGGTTGCAGGTGACAGTTGATGCCGTTAGTTGTGGTTCTTTATGTTGTTTGCTTGTTAGTTGTTATTGTTAATATTGTGAATTGTTTCATACTGAATGGTTCTTTGAACAGTTGGTTTTATGTGCCTGGCTTGATAAATAGTTACGTATGGTTCTTGACTTTTGTTTCTTATTTAAAATGACTAAGCATTTAATATGTTTCTCATTTTCCGATTCAATTAAATATTTTTTAAAATTTTGAGACTAAACTTTTTTTTGTTAAAAATTTATAAAAAATAAATATCTTTGAATGAAAGGATTTGCTTTTTACAAATAATTTGAATTAAAGTTAAACTTGAAATGTTATGATAAATATCAATATAATTAACTTTTTTCAAAAAATTGTCCAACCAAAAAAACGCTAAAATTTACGTAGACAAAAAACAAAAAAAATATAACCTAGGACATCTCCTTTTTCAACTTTGAAGAAATCTTTCGGGTCGAGTTGGTACTCCGAATATCGAAGATCGGTCGGCAAAAAGCTGTGCTGGAACATCAGTCGGTACCTCACTCGCATCTTGCTGTTGCGTCTGTGTAGGCGTGGCGACGATGATGGCTGTGATGGTGGCAATGATGATGACGATCGAGGTGATGAAGAGAGACGTGATGTCAAGGGTGAAGGTAATTTCAGAAGTGATCTTGTTGAAGTAGATGGTTGTGATGACGGTGATGATGAAACAGATGTTGGGGATGATGAAGACGATGACGATGATGACGATGGCGGTGCAGACGATGATAACGGTGATAAAATATTGGCGAAACTTTCAAGTTTTTGTGAACTGAAAAAGGGAGTTTTGAGACTGAATTTAGTTTCTAATGACGATGATGAAACTGTAGATGGCAGAAGTGATAATGATGGTGAAGATGATGAAGATGATAAGGATGACTTCGAAAAATATGATGATGGAAATATGGATGACAAAAGCTGAAATGATGAAACTGACGATAAAAATGATAACAACGATTCTTGAGGTGAAATTAAAAATGATGGTGAAGCGTAATGTGACGGTGATGATGAAGACGGTAATGATCTTTTTTTAGTTCTAGACTCTGATTCGTTTAATGGCAGCGAATGAAAAGTTTTTATATTAGATTCCTCTGAAAATGATAACGGCAAAGATGGCGACAGCGAAGATGATGAAGAAGACGAAGAAAAAAATGAAGATGAAAAAGGCGGTAATATAGCCAGCGATGAGGACGATGATGATGAAGATGGTGACGAGGCATGCTTTAATGGGAGCTTTCTTGGATTGCGCTTTTCATGCAAACCCGCTAAAAACTGCGATGACGACGACGATGATGAAGACGACGACGGTGATGATAAGGATGACGACAAAGTCGATATCGGTCGCCATATCTGAAATGTGACGGAATGCTTAATGGAATGGACGTTAACGAAGTAGCGCCACTTTACGACCAGACCGGAAGCGATTGATCCGTGCAATGGATCAGGTATTAGGACGACGTTGTTTAGTAGATCCGCATCCTCTATCGGACGCATTGTAGCTTCGTGTCCCAGATATTCGATACCTTAAAAATGAAAATAATAATTTATGAGAGTATAATAATACCGTCGGTAAAATATTTACAAGGCTGATGCTGTTCATTTGATATCGGGTTTTTTTTCATGTTTTCAACATCGTGTCATTTATATTTTATCCGAAATTTTTGAAAATTAAAAAACCAGGCAGAAAACATCATCCTTATCATTCTTATCATCATCTTCTTCACTGTTTTCACCATCCCTACCATTCTTATCATCAACAATTTCATCGTGAAATAATTTTAGCTTTATAATTACTCATAAAACCTCTTAAATTGCAACCAATTGAAAAAATGCTGCAAAACTAACTAAATCGTCCATTATGTTGAAAGTTGCATGCAAAAGTTAGTATGTGATCGTATTCACATGACTACTGTAAATACTGTTAATATATGTTAATTTTTTTAATTTTTCAATATTTTCAATTAATAAGATTCAAGTGTAAGCGACATTTTTTACTTTCAAACTGCAAGAATGACCTTACAAAAGTTGAAGACTCAAGACAGAACAACAAAACAAATGATCAAGCAAACTTTCAATTAATCAAAAACACGAACGAACAAACGAACGAACAAAAGGACAAACAAACGAACAAACGAACGAACGAACAAATACGTAAACTGTTAGACTGACTTGACTGACTGAATGACTGAATGAATGTAAAAATGAACAAATGAGACAAATTGAGTGAATAGATGCAAGAACAAAGAGTTAATTAAACCAATTGAAGCAGACTGTGGCTGGCAGTTTTTACAATAAAAAATAAACAAATAAAAATAAATAAAATAAAAAAACAAAGACTCATGGAAGGAAACAACAGCTGATGGAAGCTACTGCGCTGCAAGCATACAGGACCTCACCGTGCCATTATTTTATTATTTATAATCAATGTTTCCAATATTTCCATTACCAAATAAAATTAATAACACAAGGAATATTTGCTCATTAACACGGCAAATACGGCGGAACACTCAGAAGGCTGTCCTTACTACACACACAAACACACCACACACACACACACACACACACAACATAATCACACTCACAAATACAATACGCAGACGCACGTTTGCAGAAAACGACAAGTACACATATACACAAACAGACATACATACATACACGCATTCACATACACACACCCTAGTATACAGTTTTTCCACCTATGCATACACAAACATGCATCATGCATTCATGCATCTATGTGTTTACTTAGATTGTTTGTGCGTTAAGTCATCGTTATCTAATTTTAGCCGGTGTATTTCTGTTTACTCGTGTAGGTAGGTGTGTGTGTATATGTTTGCGTGTGTGTAAGTGTATGCTTGTGCATGTGCATGTTTGTGCGTATGTCTGTGTGTGAGTACGTGTATGTGATTTTGTGTGCAAGTTCGGTTGTACGACAACGACGATGATAATAATAAGGATGCTTTGACGATGCTTCGGTGCCACGATAATGATTGGACGTTTAGCAAGTAGTGGAAATGATGAAATTATTGTTGTCGCAAATATGATGTAGCCATTGCAGAAAGAAGCAAGTACACGTTGTTAAATAATAATGAAGTGGGAACATGTGATGATGAAGCAACAAATTAACGATGATTATGCGATGAAAATGATGTTGTTTAGTAAGGAAATATCAAATGATGTCATCTAATAATAAATTTGCGGTTGATAATTGCTTTGATTTTTTTTCTTGTTTCAAAATATGAATGTTCTGTGAAATTATCCATCGTGAAATAGTTCCAAAAGGTATTCTTAAATGGGATTGGTGTAAAGTAAGGTAACGAAAATTCAATTCCTTTGTGTTGGTGAATAATTTTTACTATCTGAGTGTTGTACTATATACAAAATTAGATGATTCAAATACTATAAACTGTTTTTCAATAAGAACGAAGAAGTACGTGCGTAAAATGCCATAAGGCAATTCATCAAAATATTTAACGAAGCTATAAAAAAATCTGAACAACTATTTTTTAAAAACTTTTAAATTCTATATCGAATGAGCACTTTAGTTTAAATTAATCCGTCCATATAATCATTCATTCTTTTTTCTTTCAATCCATTTGTATGTCTATCCATTCAGTCATCCGTCAAACTGTGCGCCAGTCAATTCATCAACAATTTGATCAGTCTAATTATTCATTCATCTGCAAATTTATCCATCAATCATTTGATCGTCCTTGCTGCAATTAATGAAACAGCAAAGACATCCATTACATCAGCAGCAATACATTAACAAAATCGTCAACATTAAATGAAAACAACATTTGTGACATCGTCAACAGAGGCAACAACAAACCTTCACCATCATCATCATCATCATCATCCATCATCATCCTCCATCCTCCTCCTCCTCCTCCTCCTCCTCCTCATCATCATCATTGACATCATCACCATCATCATCATCATCATCATCATCATCATCATCATCATCATCCATCATCATCGTCGTCGTCAACGCCGACATGCAGTAGTGCATTAGATTCAGAGAAATCATTCATTTTGCAAGCTCTGCAAATAACTGAGTTTCACCAAGTAGTGCTTTAATGTATTATTCATTTTCAACATCACACGAAAACATATAATGAGTACTTAAACGCAGACGTATAAGCAAATATATACACACACACAGCACAACACACACTGAACAATGTACACGCAAATACACACACACACACACACACACACACAACACACACAAACACACACATACACATACACTGAACAATGCATGCAAACGTACAGGCTAATATAGATTTAATAAGCATAACTAAAGCAACACTGGGAAAAAGAGACAGTAGATTCACAAGTCAGCCCGTTAAATATGGTTAGATTGTTTAAATTTAAAACTTAATTTCAAGTTTGAAGTCGCTGGGGCTTACGTACCTGTCCGAAAAAATATAAACTACACTTTTTAAACATTCTCGCGGAGGAAGCTCGCTATTAATCTCGCGATAAACCACGCGTAGTTTCAAAAAAAGTTTTGCCTACTTCATAGTGGTGTGTATGGAAAAACGCAACAACAACCATAACAATCACACCAGCAATAACAACAGCGTTTGACAGCACCAACCACATTTTAAACATGAAAATAGCAATTATTCTAAGTGCTTTCGCTGTACGAGTAACAATAATCTAAATTTCGTAACAAAAATTAGATTCTTATTTAACAACATATGACATATTGAGAATGAAGTAAAATATATTAACATAGACACCTGTTGAAATTATTATTTAAAATAATTCTTATCATAAAACGCCCTACAAAATTAACATATATTAATAGTAATATATAAATAAACTAAATTTACGATCATAAAATAACTAACAAAATATTACAATTAACGATATTACATAACAACAACGTGCCGACAACAACAACAACAACATAAAAGCAACATAACAAAAACAACGACGACGACGTGACAACAACATCGTGACAACAACAGCAACATAACAGCAACAATATAGCAACAACTTAACAACAAAATATTTTTTTTAAGCAGCTGCAGCCCGAAACAACCCGAACGTTTAATTAAATGATAATGGGTTGAACAACTAAGATGTCCATGCAACTTCCCCACATATGTTAGATAAATAGACGTTATACTACAGATAAACAAATGATATACAGAGGTAATATAAAAATTTTATAATAAAGTTTATAGAAAATTATCAAATCTGAAAAAAATGTAATTTAAACAACACTTAGAAAAATCTGGTCTGAGAAACAGAAAAAAAGCCTAGAGATCGAAATATATATATAGACAGACAGATGAATAGATAGATAGATAGACAGACAGACAAAGAGACAGACAGACATACAGACAGATAGATAGATAGATAGACAGACAGACAGACAGATAAATAGGTAGATAGACAGACAAATAAATAGATAGATAGGTAGGTAGATGGACAGACAGACAGGCTCACAGACACACAGACAGACAGCTAAAGAGAGAAAAAGATAAACAAGGAGGAAAGGAGTGAAAAAAAGAGAGAAATAAAAAATTTCACGCAGTATAGTATTGAGAGCGGATAATTTAAAAGGACGTATACTAAGAAAGAACAAAGAACATAAACAATGGCCAGGGCAATTCTCATAAGCATTTGAAAACAAAAACAAAAAAATACAGCAAAACAACAACAACAACGACAAAACAAAAAAAAACATAACATAATATAACAACAACAAAAACACCATACTCATCAACAACAATAACAATGACATCAACTATAAAATTTAACATAAGCTGTCGTTTTTATTACATTAATGCAGTGCGATAATTCATTCAGAAAATTACAATTTATCTAGAATTAAATAACGTAAACAATAGTAGATGGCACAGATAAAACTTTCGAATTGAAAAGGACAATATGTTATAAATATGAAACAAACACTCAATGAAAACATCAACTAAACCCGAGAACCTTTGAAACAACATCAACAAAAGTCTAGTTACTCAAATAACAACATCAACACTACAACCACCACCACTACCAGCAGCACCAGCAGTAGCTGCAACAGCTTCAACAGCAACTGACAGCGCGCACGCCAGCGGCAACAAATAAAACAAATATATGGTTTCAGAATAAATTGGGCTAAACAAATCTGTCTGTATTATGCTCGGGACAGTTTTATTAAGTTCATTAGTCGCATGTCGTGTGTTTTATTGCAAATGTTAGCATTACTACTACCATCAAAGCCTCCGTCACCACCCTACCATCTCTTGTGCAGTTTGATGCTACTGCTGCTGCTGCTACTACAGTTGCTGCTGCTACTACTACAGTTGCTGCTGTTGTTGTTTCTTGCCATCCTTACGTAACTGCTGATGCTATTGGTTCTACTGTGGTTAAATGTCCACTACGATTCATTACGTTACAACATTAAATGTTTCAGTGCATTACAGCATTAAATTTTTATTGTCTTATTTGTTTCATGCATTTTTGTAGGAAATAAAAATATGTTTTTATGATTAATATTATATAAATATATATTTAATATAAAGTGTAATTATTTATTATATATAAATGAATGATTCATAAATGATTTGTACGCATTTCCAACAACAATACAAACAACAACATTTTCAACACAACAACAACATTTCCATCACAACAACAATAACAACAATAACAACAGACCAATGACAACAAAACAACATGGAAAATATTGTTATTAAATTCACCGGCATAATAAACAGGCGTCTGCTCACGTATTTACATGTAAAAAATGTTTCAAATTAGTTTAAAACGCGGCTAAGCTGGTCGTGGAACTCAATTTATCACGTGAAAAAAGTGAAATATTATTTTACGCTTCAGCTATCAATAGATAAAACATCCTCGAAGATTTTATTTTCTAACATACTTCTCAAAAATTGTATAAAGTGCTTTGAAGATTGTTCACTCCAGTACTGTTATTCATCTTATTTTGCAATGTGCTGGAGATACTTTAAAAATGGACAAGAAATAAAAAAAAGGCAATTAGGTGCATTATCTAATACAACTTTCATTTTTATATTTACCATCATCATCACCACCACAATCGTTATCACCATCATCACCATTTTCATCATCATCATCATCATCATCACCATCGTCTTCACCATCGTCATCATCGTCATCATCATCAGCATAACGCCCAACGAACTTTGTGGAGGTTGACATGTAGCGATCTTGACATACGCATTGTAGTACGTCCCTTTGATAGTGTACGGTGCGAGGGAACGTGACGACGACGACGATGATTTTGGAGGTTTTCCGCTATCACATTGCCACGAATTTAAGCCATAAAGGTCAAAGTTCAAGTTTTTCAAAAAGAGGGTACTAACGGGGACCCCGAATTCTGGAGTGCCCTTCTGACCGCAGGCGTTTTTGTGGGGGTTGCCAGAGCAGATAATTCCCTGCTTGTTTGGAGAGAGGTGGAACTCTGTGGCCATGTTACAGATCCTGAAGATGATGAAATGATGGAGAGGATGAGGATGACGAGGATGGCGATGATGATAGTAATGGTGATGATGGTGATGATGAGATGATGATGATGAAATTGAGGTGAGGACAAAATGACGATGACATGATGACAACGAAGAGTATGAAGTTGAAATGATGACGAATAGATGAATGTGATATGAGATGATGATGACGAAGACGGTGAGGATGATATTGCATAGATGTGGATGAAAATATTGATGAAATATTGAGTGGCAGAGGTTTGTAGCATATGTAACAAATGTTTCAACCCTAATTCAAATTTAATGATTTTTTTTAAAGCACCGGTTGATCGATTGAGGATAAAAAAGATTCTGAAAATATTTGTTGGGCATTTTAAAAATTTCTGCTGTAGAAAGTCTTCGTGATAAAATTTTGCAAAAAAATTGTGTTTAAAGTCATGAAATTTATGCGAGAGTCAAAAAACAAAAAAAATCTTTGACAGAACTTTGGGGAAAGTGCCGTGAAATTGAAAAGAGTGTAATTAAATTTGCCAGTAAAGTTACAGAAAGAATAATATTAGAAGATTTAATTTTTTGAGAACTGTTTGCAAAACTAGTTCGGAAAGAATTTAAAAATTTGTGAAAAAATATAAAATATTAAGAAAAAAATTAAGCAAAATGTTGAACACGCTGCGAAATGACTTATGAAGTGTTTGCTGTAATTAAACTGAATTCATTGAAATAATTTGATGGCGAGGATGTTTGTGATATTATTATAAAAAGATGACAAAGGACTGAAGGAATTGTGTAAAACCAACGTAATGACTACAGTGAAAGCTTAAATAGATTCTGTAAGAATCTAGACAGGGTAGAGGAGTGTTGAAATAATGTCATGAATTATTCTAATCATCTCTTTATATACACTTTAATAAACTTGTGAAATTTAAAGAAAAAAAAGTTTAAGAATCTTGTGAAAAACTTTCAGAGACGGTAGGAGGAGTTAGAAATCAGGGAGAGCCTTAAACTTAAAAGTCTTTTTGAGGTGTGTTTGTTGAAGGTTTCATAAAAGGAAAAACTGAAACCTGAGCGAGAGGCATAGTAAAAAGTTATGCAGATGTAACGGGTGCTGTTGAAAAGTTTGTGAAAAAAAATTTTTGAAAAATTAGTCTGATGAAACGAAAAAAATATTTTTTAAACATTCATAGAAAAAAATATAAATGCGTGTTTGTCAAAAGAAGCCGAGCGTGATGTAAAAGTTGTAGAAAAAATTAGCAGGAATTTTGGGAAAATTTGTAGGAGGAACCAAAGAAATTTTTAGAGAAAACTGAATATAATCATGAATTTTGATAAAGACAGATTCAAAACATACAGAAAAAGGCCAAAATAATAACAATTTTTTTAGAAGTTTGAACAAAAATTTAGAAAAAATATGAAAGAAATATTTTGTATCATAAAGATGAAATAAAATCAGGATGGAATTTTGGGCCAACCGATTATTCTCGTTGCACCTGGAAAAAAAACTTGAGAAATTTGAATATATTTAATGGTGGCGTTAATAACAGCCTGGATGACGATGGTAAAATTGTGATGAGGATGAGGATGGTTGAGGAGGTTGACGATGATCGTCGCAGTATTAAGAATGAATGAAAATAATGACATTGATGAATGTGCTCGTGATGATAACAAAATGTTCACGGCAAAGACGACAATAAAGACGGGGTGATAGAGAAGATGACAATGAGGAAGGAAGTGATAGAAAAGATGATAATGAGAAAGAGGTGATAGAGAAGATGATAATGAGAAGGGGGTGATGGAGAAAATGATGGTGCTGATGATTGTTGGTGGAGAAGTGTTCGGTTGTGAATTATCGTCTCTCTCCTATGATTTATGTTTGGTTTTGTTAAGAACGGTGAACGTTAAACGTGAGCAATGATGATGATGATGGAGATTATTCAAATCTTAATGGTCCTTATCTCGAAGTGATTATCGTGATCAGGTTAACGATGTTGATTTCAAAGGCGATGATAACAAATACAATGCAACGAACATGATAATATTGATCATCATAATATCGTTAGGCATGATGAGAAAAATATTATTTAATACATTCAATTCCGATAAGACTAAAAATTTCACACTATTAAATTTTTTTAAATCGTTAAATTATAAAAATTGTGAAAAAAATTATTAGCAGACCATTTTATTTTTATTCATTTTATTACTTCCAACTATTATTAACTGAAGCAGCACTAACTTGTTTCCATGCCTAAAGACCATTGTCTTTACAGCTCTCTCCCTTGGATCGTAAGCGCTGATGAAGGAAGGATGATATGAAGCATTGGCCTTGACACTAATGACGAGATCAGTGAGTACGCACCAGGCGTCGAAGTAATCGTAACTGTCCAGTATTTTGATAGTTTCTGCGTCGATGAAGGTCGTGTCGACTTGAGCGACCGTCTCGTTGACCTTGTTCCAATCCTGCGAGTACTTGGCGTCGGCGCTGAACCTCAGCCAGATGGAGCCATCCCTCGTCCGGCTGACGTACGCTGCGTGCTGCATCCCTCGCCGATCTGTTAGCACGTTCTCGCCCGTTTTCAAACTGCACCAATCTGCTGGCGAGGAAGTTGTTGCAAAAATGTAAAGTGTAACTCTTTGGATGGCTTGCAGTTTAAAAAACAGTATATTTGAAACAATTGCTGCTGTGTTGTTAAACCTATGTTACTTTTACAACTTACAAATAACACAAATGACTTTAAAATTTGGTGAAGATTTGATAAAAGATAAGATAATAAAACGGTGAATGACAACATATTTGGTGATGCAAAACGCAGTGTATTGAAAATGACGCGTATTCGATCTAAGTGACGATGACCGGACAGAAGGAACGAGATGGCAATTACGAAGCCAGTAAGACTGATAGTTGTGACGCACAAGCTCGCCAGCCAGCCAGCAGACGATGCAGCTTCGTTGGCTCGAAAATAAACGACGAAATGCAATTTGGAGATTCTAATAAGTTTCTTTGGACTCTTTTTATGCATTTTATATTTATATTTTAAGTTTCCATTTCTGATTTTTTGGCTTCTGTTTGAATTATATCTTCTAAACATAAATTTAGAGAACGTGAAGATTTTTGATGAGAAATTTGATAAAAGCGAATGAAAAAATCTTGAAGTAAAATGAAACATGATCCGAACTTAATTTGCCATCAATGAATAATTCATTACATCACGTCACTTCAACGTCCCATCTTCCATCACACGTTCAACAGAAGCTGCCAGATAATATCGTTCTTGCGGTGGCGACACCAGCGTTGGCCTCACATTATATATACATTTATGTATAATATAAAAAAAGAAATAAAAAAAAGAGGGAGGGAGAGAGAAAGAAAGAAAAAGGGAGAGAGAGAGAAAAAATCTTCATTTCGTTAAAAATAATGTATAATTTCTTTCGTGGCAGGTCAACCATTGTAAGCTTTTAAATTTCAATATTCTATTTTTTATTTGCTTTACTATCTTAACCGGTTTCTAAATGCTGTATTAACCGACAAAAAATGTAGTACTCAGACACAATACAACATAGAAATTAACATTGTGACAGTGGACATGAGATGGTAACGAATGCTAACAAATGATTGCGAATTATAACAAATGCCAACCTATGCAGCTGGCCAATGCAGCTATTTTCTTAATTTATCACAAAAATGTCCCATATGCCAGCCAAACAAATGCAATTATTTCATTTATGCCCCCAGCTAGCAAATGTTACATTTTTATGCGGACGAATGTTAGTTACACTTAGAGATGGGCTCTGCACCAATCTCGTCACAATAAATAATATCCAACTACACAAATTCTACGACTTCATTCACGTATTATGTGTTGCACGTACACAAACAAACAGATTTTCACGCACACACACACACTCACACACAATAATACGCAAATGTAACGTTAATCTTCCTTTTCATCATCAGCCAGCGAACGAACTGACGACGTTGTTACGCGTTATATGCTTTGGTCGAAGAATGAGATATCTGAACAAATGTTCGATGATTGACAGGCAGAAGAGGGAAGAGATGTCTGTGTGCGTGAGACAATTCAACCAACATGAGACAAACATTAACATCACCATCATAGGACCCCATCAATAAAATGCACGCATAGTTCAGACTCAACTTTCAAAAGAATTCACACACGCACATTTAGGTCCAATACACGTAGCAGACCTTTCAAAAACATATACATAATAAATACACCAAATGTAAGTTCCCAGTCTTGGCTTATATGTATATAAATATATACATATATATTCTTTAATTTAGTTTATTAAATTTGTAACATTATTATTCTATAGTTAGTTTTTTCATTTCTTTTCAGAGTTGGTTCTGCTGATGATCTTTTTATGACGTTATGTTGGACTTTTCATTTATAATATTTTCCATTAAACTATTTTTAAATCTTCCATGGTCTATTTATAAAATTTAATTTTTAAAACTTTACAAAAAATTTCATTGTTTTTGCGATTTAAAACTCTACTAAACAAAACCTAATGATGATTTCTCGGATGGAGATGTCTTGGACGACATTTTCAAAAGTTAAAAGTTTCCTCTCAAACAAAATTCTTGCAGCAGCACAATAGTTGGACTTAATTTTATTAGCATGTCATCCTAAAGATAAAACAAAGACAGACAGACACAGACAGACAGACACAAACACACACAGACACAAACACGCACAGACACAAACACACACAGACACAAACACAGGCAGAGGAACATGAAGTAGAACACCACGCCACACATTTTTACATAATGTTCCCGTTCACTGAGCTTTTTTCGCATCGTCTCCATTCAATGGCCAGATAAAATTCTTTTTTTAAATTGCTAAGATTTTTTTAGTTTAAGTATTTTAGTTTTTAGTTTCTTTTTTAAATTGAATTAATTTTCCGTTTTTTTAAAACTATATATTGCAATGTTACACTTTTGTTTGTACAAAAGCAAGCAGTACATTACAGTACTACTACTAACAAATTTGTATCATAAGCTTTTTGGCATGAAGGCAAAGTCAGTTTGTATTGTTAAACTTATTTGCAGCAAAAATATTTATAAAACTTTGTTGTACAACATGAGTACAAAAATTATTGCGAATGACATCAAAGTTGCATGTGTGAGAGCTGAAAGGAAAGATATATAGATAGATATCTGAATGATAGTTGCATGACAGCATATAAAATTGTTATCGAGAATGTAGGTACTTAAAAACGTGCATAAGTGAAATTGTAACCCCAGCTTTGCGAACCAGAACGTTTAACTTAAATTATTTATAAAAACACACATTTTGAAAATATTTAAAATTCATTAATATTCGACTTATTAAAAGATCTTTGTCTTTACATAAATTGAAGTAAATATAAATTGGAGCAGATTTCATGCAAATTTTAAAATTGCTGGAATAATTTGTTGGAATGAAAGTGAGATACAATTGTTGTACGCACTTAGCAATGTAAACTGATTGTGATGAGTGTTATTTCAATCTGTCTATGATAGATATTGCAGTTAAATTGAATTTTGTAGAAAATTTAGCTATTTTTTCAACGTACCTTCCAGCAGTTGACTCACAAAAATTTGCAATAATACTAAAATATTGATAAATCAAATTAAATTAACAGAAACGTATGCAAACAAAAAAAACTGCCTGGCATTTTTATATTTTTAAGATGGCCACCATACCTGTTCCTGTAAACTCAATTAATTTTTCAAATTAAATTTTTTTTCAAATTCTTACTTCGAAAATAAATTTGGAAAAAAACTTTCAACAGCGGAAGTTTGCTGCATGGAAAGAGATCCGTGTGCGTTTCTTTTTGATGTTTTTGTGTGGAAATCTTCGGCTCACTTTTAAAAAAGTTGGAGGAGGAGGACACACACACACACACACACACACACACACACACACACACACACAGTCACATGATTACAACAACTTACAAAAAGCATACAAAAAGGAACACAACACATATTAACACAAAAACACAAAATATTGTAACTTATAAAATAAATATCAAGTGAAAAATATCTACCGGAAAAACAACAACAAACAGCTAGACAACAACAACAACAGATACAACAACAACAACAACAGTAACAACAACAACAGCAAAAAATCAAACATTCAACAGCATGTACTCATATGCTGGAGCTGACCAATTTAAATAATTCATATGATAATTTTAATCTATGAGTGCCCTGAGAATTTTAGTTGGTTGTGGATTTTGTTGTTGTTGTTGTTGTTGTCGTTGCTGATGTGTAGATGTTGAACATCAACAACAACAGTTTTAAAACAACACAGCAGCAGCAACAACAAACAACAATAACAACAACAAAATCAAAAACACAACAAGACGAGAAACGACACAACCACACATTACAAAACACATTACAACATATCACAACAACAACAACAACAAAAACAACAACAACAAGCTAACAGACACAAATTAGATACAACGATGCTTCCCGCTCCAATACACAATATATCAAACAATTTTTAAACAAATAAAACGAATAGTTTCGTTTCGAGGAAAAAAAATAATTAATTTTAGTGTGATTAATTTTTAAAGTTTATAAAAATTTTTGAAAACTCGTAAAACCTGCATTTTTTCCCTGTATAAGTATTTTAATTATGCCTGAACGCGATGAACTTTTATAACTAAAAATATTTAGTGTGTGTGTGTGCGTATGTGTGCTTGTTTGTTTGTGTGTGTGTGTCTGTGTGTGATTGTATGTGTGTGTGTGTGTTTGTGTGCGTATGTGTGTTTGTTTGTGTGTGTGTCTGTGTGTATGAGTGTGTGAGTGTATGTGCGTGTGTGTGTGTGTATATATAGGTGTGTGTGTGTGTGTGTGTGTACATGTGAGATTATACAGCAAAAGACGAGGATGTTTCTTTGATTTGTTATCTTTTAAAATGGCGACATCAATCTTCCTTGATTCGCGCTGCCAATATTTTTACGCTGGTTCATCGAATGTAGTTTCGTAAGCAACTGACGCGATACTTTTAAAAGAACGGATATTGTTTTGAGTTATTCTTTTCACATATTTTTTTGTTTTTGAGAAAGTAAAAAAACACGGTGATGAAGAGACTAACATGGCCAAAATGAGTAATGATAATGAAGGCTCTTTTAATGATGATAACATAACGTTTTTAGCGATGATAACATAGAAATAAGGATATAAAGTTATAAAAGATAACAACCTATGTATTGATAATAACGTAAAAAATATAATAATAACAATAGCAATAATAATAATTGTTATTATTATTTATATTATTTATATTATTATTATTATAGCATGTACGTCCTTGTTTAAAGTAGTAACTCTTATATACAGATAATAACATTTTATAGCCCAGATAACAAGGCTCGGCTGGAGTCTGCCTGTGGTATTAATTTTGCTTCTTCCAGATAGTTTTCTGTTCGTTTCTACGTCTGCTTCAGTTTGATTTTTATGTTGTTATTAGGATAAATTTTAATTAATTATAAAAAAGTATTTCACATACCTTTGATTTATGTTGTTATTAAGTTTGAATTAATTGGAAAGAAGTGGAAATTAATATTCTTCACTAGATTCGAATTTAATATACAAAATAGTTTTGTTATATGTTAAAAAGAAATAGAATTACGTTTTCAAACATTTTTGAAATATGTAAAATTAATTAATTCACTTGCGCAGCATAAATTGCAAATAAATTTTGAATATTTTAAGACTCAGTTATAAGTGTGTGCGTGTGTGTGTGCGCGTATGTGTGCAATATTTACATGCAAGTGTATGCTTGTGTGTATTTGTACAAGTGTGCGTATATGTGTATGCGTGTGTGTGTGGATATGTGTGCGTATGTGTTGATATGTGTGTGTGTGCGTGGATGTGTGCGCGTGTGTGCGCGTGCGTGCGTTTTATTGACGAGTTTGTGGAAAATCAATGACTGATTTTCTCCGTTGAGTTTGAGTGTTGCATCGATATAAAACTGTTCGAGTGACTGATCGT